TCTCTCCAACCTACTTATATACAAAGAAGAGTATTATGTGGGCACCACTATTTGGTTTCTATCATTGAATGGAAAAAAGAAACATTTATCGTTAAAGAGAAAATAAGCACATCAACAGATCCCTTGTTGTCAAATCTTGGTAACGACGTCTTTTCTATAAATAAGAAGAAACTAAAACAATAAGAAGAAAGAAATTCCAACTTGAAATCGAATGTATAGTATAGAAAACTTCATAATAAATGGAATAAATAGATGTTTGTAATTATGACGGAGTTGAAATCTTAGGGGTTTGGAGTGGCTTTCAAGTTCGCAGAGTTGAAGGCTTAAATTTAGCATCCTATCTAATACATGGCTGTGTTCGTGTATTTGTTGCGTGATTGATCTGTTGTATCACATCATGTACCATTTCAACGATGACAAGCCCCCCCCAACAAATGTCTAATGCACACAAAAATTGAAAAAAAACAACAACAAAGTACTATGGAGCTCCCGACCATGTGAGAGGCGTTTGTGCTCTTGTTAGATACGCAATAACTTGGAAAAAATCCAAAATCGAAGTGAAAATGCCTATTTTTACTTAAAATGAAAATATTCTCACGTTTCCATAATTTCTTGTGACAGAACATACATGTGACAGCAAGGCTCCAAAGCTAGAGGATAATATTTCCCATTGCGATAAGAACAATCTTTAGATTTAATATTCTTGATATATATAGAGTTGTCAAGCGTATATATTGAACTATGTCATTGCAGAATCCGTGAAGAAAGTTTTGTTAAATTATTCAATGTATTGCAATGTAACACGATAATGTTTTATTTCATGTGTCTGCTACTATTTCAAATACCATTTTTGCGGTTTGGTTCGGCGGCATTTTTTTTACTACAGACTTCTTGTCTTTCCTAAAGTGGAAGGTATACCATTACTGTAACCACCTATACAAGAAAAGTGGGGATATAAATTTGGAAGCATTCTTGCTCTTCAATGTTCAGAAATGAAGGACACCAATCGCAAAGTAATAAAATGTACAGGCAATCTGGGTATGCTATTCTATAAAGTTTCTTTAGCTGTCAGACTCTCAAATCAAGAAACACCAAAAACCATGGTTTCTAGTTTACAGAAGTTTTTACTCTAGTGTTACACTATCAAACGCTTTCTATTAAATACATTCGAACTCATTAATGAAAAATCACTTATCCTCGCCACATGGCACATCAATCAGTTCTCCAAACCATAAATCTATTTACTCTTCCATACATTTGTCCCTAGAACGTTCACACCTTATAAACATGCCTCCCAGCAATCCCAATATATTCAAACACCGTGACGTTCGGTAAATCACATTATCACCATCTTGCCCCGTCATCGCCCCCAGCCTCCTCGCAAGGCGGGGGCGGGTGAGCAAAACCCTCGGTTCGCCCTCTTCCGCGGAGCCCAGCACTCTCTTCCGAAAGAACCGGGCGCCTCCGTTATGATACTCTCTTCTCTATCCGATTTTCGATGCTTCAAAGATTCGTGAGCAAAGCTCTCCCTCAGAGGTACCCTCTTCCAACAATAACGGCTCCGGAGGGGCGATGTCGCTGCAAAGGTCTCGCTGGGGCGAAGGTCGGTGAGGGGCGGCGCGGTTTTCGCAAGAAGCCCTTTCAAAGGGAAGAAGGCGCACTTATAAATTTCATCAGGCGGTAAGCACGAAATATACAACCGCCTCCCGCAGAGTATGCAAAAACGCTGTTCGAAAGTGGAAAAGGTGGCCCGAAAAGCGAAGAAAGATTAGGGGATAAAAATTGTGACAGGAGAAAAGAGTGCGTAGATGATTCAAAACGTATAGTTTAGTTTGTTAAAAATATAGGAATACTGAATCAAATTAAAGTATAATATACTCACAGTAGTGTCACGCATGCTACCACGAGGTCTTGTATCCTGTTGTAACTTGTATGTTGTTGATTTCCAATGGAGCATATCAATGCCGTCATCCTTCACCATGAACACAACGATAAATGACGCAACAACACATTCAGCATTAGGCGCACTTAACAAATATCTAATTTATTACGTTTTTATTTTCGAACGATACCGGGACGGAACATTGTTTAATCACCACACAATTCACATCACTTTTCACTGCTTTTCGCCGCTTGGAGCGGCTGCCCCGAGTGGCACACACCGTTTGCGACGAGGCGATCGCTTTAGATGAACGTGTAGCACTGGTTTCGTAACCCGAGTCTGCTCGACCACGACAGCGCTAGCAGCAGCTAGCACAACGAGCGCGCACCGCCGACTGACGCGCCTTGAACTTATCGCAGCGATCGGTAGCATGGCCGTTCGCAACGGAGGCTCTGAGGGAATTGTTAATAAGGTTTCTTATTTTTATACATTCGTAGCGGGAAAAAATATGTTTCAATATGAGCAGGCTGTAGCCCTGAAGAAAACCACGGTATGTTGGTCGAAACTGTCGTCACCTCAGCCTTCGACGCGTCGTCACCGAACAGCAAACATTATGACTCTGGCTGCGGAAGCCTACGACATCATTTGCTGATGATGATAATCATTAAGTGTTTCTATTAACCTTCATCAAAAATAATTTACGTAAATGAGAAATAGTAAGAAAGTAATATTTCTTTTTTGATCCATTTCATATTGAAGGAGAAGTAGAGTTCTTTGTGTATCACCCGTATCCAATCAATATATCAAGAGCCTCTTCATATTGACTTGATGAGAGATCTACTTTAAAAGGGAGTATTATATATTTGTTTTCTGCGCAGCTTAATGAATGAATTTTCAGGAATGTTCAAGGAGCAAAGTGTAGAGAAATTGTGGAATAAAAGAGAGATCTACAATACATTACATTTATGAAATATTATTGCTCAGAAAACCACTTATTAGAAACTAAATTTTCATTCACGTTCCGTTAAGGAATACATCTTGATTTCCTAAGTTCACCTAATATATGATTCCTAAACAAGTGCAGTAGTGATATAGATGTTTCTAAGACAAAGCAGTCGGATCCTCAAATACTAGTACATCTGTACTCACCCTCTTTATATTAGTAAAATCAAACAACGAATGAATCGTTTTAAAGCTCTTTTCAGAGCTAGCTCTCATAAAATTTTTACGTTTTTTCTGAATGGAATCTTTTAAAAATGTAAAATTGTGTTAAAAACCTTTTTTGAAAAATCAACTTATAAAAAATGCTTACGAAGTATATTTTTAATGACCTACATCAACTGCAAAGTATTAATTTAGAAACGTTTCCTTTCTCGCAATTTTCAATACTTAATGAATTACTGAAAGGGTGGAGGCAATTCAGTGCGTAGTACCAATTTAAAAGTCACTTGTAAACTTGACAGAGAGATATCAGAGATTCGAAAAACAAATTAGTTTGATCACCTGTAGCTCCGAAATCCAATTATTCGAAAGGTATCCTGCGTAATGTAAGAAAACTGACGTAGTGCTTTACTAGGTATATTTTTTTAATCATAATAGTATTATATCGATCTTTGAGACGGAATATTTGTGGGCGTGGACATGAAAAAGTTTGAAGGTCGTTAATGCGCGAGATTTGAAAGGCGCGTGACTTAGACACGCTTTCATCAGCAGGTAATCTTGCAGGTTCTGCGATGTGGCAAGAACATCTCAGATCTACGGAAGTTTGAATTTATGCAGATGTATGCATGTTAAGCTAGATATATTATCAGTCATAATTTTAAAATGGTACCTAGTGAACTGTTAGACAGAAGTCTTTAAATCAAATTATTGTTTGTTTTTTTGTATTGACAAAGACCTTTATTTGTTCAAAGTAGAAGCGATCGAGGGGAAGTCGATGTTAAGTAACTGTGACGATCCTCACTCTTCACTTACGCACACTTCCTCTTACACACACACTATACTACCTCACGTGCCGGGAGACCAATCAGGAGCTTAAAGCTTTTCACTGCTGTGGCGGTGCCCCGATAGACGGAGGTTCCTGGTTTGAGAAAATACTGCTAGCCGATCGGTATGTCGGTGCCGGATCTCATCCTCGAGAATATCACTCGCCATTTCCTGAGAGAGAGAAAAACATGCACTACTCGTACGGGACTAATGCCCTTGCTAGTTGACGCGCCCGGAAAAATTAATCAAACAATCAAATCCAAAGTCGCCAAACACCATACCTCTCCGCGGAAAATCCCGACCCTTTGCCCAACTGCTGTGCCCGCGCCTCAGCCCGTAAATATGAGCAACTGTGTGCAGAGTGGAGGAAAGAGTGAGTTGGGGAAAGGGCGTCCAAAGTGGAAAGAGTTGAACGCCCCGAAATATTCGCTCCCATGAGTTTTTGGAGCCGCTCTTTCGTAGGGTGACTCAGCGGGTACGCCGGGAAAAAATGGAGGAACGTTCTGAAAGGAAGGAGTAATGAAATGGGCTTACGAGATCTTTGATTTGCAAC